CTCACCGCAACCTCCGCCTCCTGGGTTCAGGCAATTCTCCTGCCTCAGCCTCCTGAGCAGCTGGGACTACAGTCACGCGCCACCATGCCCAGCTAATTTTTTGTATTTTTTGGAGAGACGGGGTTTCACCATGTTGACCACGATGGTCTTGATCTCTTGACCTTGTGATCCACCCGCCTCGGCCTCCCAAAGTGCTGGGATTACAGGCTTGAGCCACCGCGCCCGGCCTACAAAACTTTTTTCAATAGTTCACTGGGTGTGGTGGCATGTGCCTATGATCCCTGCTACTCAGGAGGCTGAGGCGGGAGGATTGCTTGAGCCTAGGAGGTTGAGGCTGTGATGAGCCATGTTCATGCCACTGCACTCCAGCTTGGGCAACAAAAAGAAGGTAGACATGGTAACTGCCCTCATGGAGTGTACAGTCTATCCAGACAAGTAACCAGTTACACTGTGGGCTGCCGTTATGGGTGTGAGGAGATGTTGACTAGAGAGGAACATATAGACACACACGCACATTTCTGGGATGACAGAAATGTTCTTATTTTGTTCTGGATGAGTACATGAATGTATTTGGTCATCAAAACTCATTGAAGGGGCCAGGTGCAGTGGTCATGCCTGTAATCCCAGGGAGGCCAAGGCGGGTGGATCACCTGAGGTTGAGACCAGCCTGACCAAAATGGTGAAACGATGACTCTCCTAAAAATACAAAGAAAAAAAATTAGTCAGATGTGGTGGCCCGCACCTGTAATCCCAGCTACTCTGGAGGCTGAGGCAGGAGAATTGCTTGAACCCGAGAGGAGGAGGTTGTGGTGAGCTGAGATCGTGCCATTGCTCTCCAACCTGGGCAACAATAGTGAAAATCTGTCTCAAAAAAAAAGAAAAACCAAAAACAAACAAACAAACAATCTCACTGAAGTGGCCGGGCACGGTGGCTCGTGCCTGTAATCCCAGCACAGGCGGGAGATCACATCAGGTCAGGAGTTCTAGACCAGCCTGGCCAAGATGGTGAAACCCCAACTCTACTAAAAATACAAAAATTAGCCAGGCATGGTGGCACATACCTCTAATCCCAGCTACTCAGGAGGCTAAGGCAGGAGAATTGCTTGAACCTGGGAGGTGGAGGTTGCAGTGAGTCGAGATCGTGCCACTGAACTTCAGCCTGGGTGACAGGGAAACTCTGTTTCAAAACAAAAACAAAAAAACTCACTGAACTGAACACTTAAGATCTATGCATTTTATTATCCCTTAATTACACTTCAATTTAAAAAAAACCCAAAGTAGCAAAATAGCGATTATAATTCAGTATGACAGTGAGTAGTGGGTATGATATGCACGTGTGTCAGTGTGCCTGACAACTTTAGGAGTTCAGAATACCGCTCCTTGAGAAAGTGTACAGAGCTGGTAGCTAGAGATAGCCAGTCGAGGAAGCCAGTGAAGAGCTTCCGCTGAACTTGCAAGAGATGGAGAATTTACATCTCAAGAGAACTTGCCTGTACAAAGGCCCAGAGGGAGGAGAGAGTATGACCCACTGGGATAGTGCAAGTAGTTCAGATGGTTACAGTGGAGGTTGTGAGGTGAGGTTGGAGGGAAGTAGGACTGGAGGGATGAGCAGGGAATAGTAGATAAATGAACCCTATTACACTATTACGGATTTTATCATGAGGCCGTTGGGAAACCCTAAAGGAAACTTGTTTTTTTTTTTTTTGAGACAGAGTCTTGCTCTGTTGCCCAATTGGAGTGCAGCGGCACGATCTCAGCTCACTGTAATCTCTGCCTCCAGGTTCGAGCGATTTTCCCACCTTAGCCTTCAGAGTAGCTGGGATTACAGGCTTGCATCACCACACCTGGCTAATTTCTATATTTCATATTTTAGGTAGAGACAGAGTTTCACCATGTTGGCCAGGCTGGTCTTGAACTCCTGGCCCGCCTCGGCCTCCCAACGTGCTGGGATTACAGGCATGAGCCGCCGCGCCGCTGCCCCAAAGGAATTTAAACGGGAAAAGACAAAGTCATACTTATGGTGTAAAGAGGCTATTTGTCCTCAGGATAGAGGAAGTAGGGATGACTAAGAGGGGCGGGGTGCAGATCGGAGCTCAGGCTCCTGCAGCTGCAATGAAGCAAGAGAAGCTGAGGCCTGACTAAGGGCCCTGGGCCCAGGGTACAGAGAAGTGGATGGATGTGAGTGGTATGCAGGAGCTGGAGTTGCTGGAAGACAAAGTCAAGGATGACTTGCCGTTCTCCAGAATGGTGCCATAGAGCAAGGTAGGGAACCCAGGAGCAGGGCAGGGGTGGGAAGCAAGTGGGTAGTGAGCTGACAGATCTGATAGGCAGGGAAGAGAAGGATGGGCAAAGGCTCAGGAGACCCACATACAGACCTAGACATGGAATTCCTAAGAATGGTTACAGTATCTGGAGTTACGGGTGAGATCATCCAGGAGAATCTGTTGAGTGAGAAGTAGAAAGACCTGCAGTACTTGTATGAACACCAAAACTTGAAGGGTGGGCAGGTGAGATGGAGAAGAAATTGCTCAGAGAGACGGAAGGAAAACCAAGAGAGTAGAGTGGGTGGCCTGGCGCTGTGGCTCACACCTCTAATCGTAACACGTTAGGAGGCTGAGGCAGAAGGATTGCTTGAGCCCAGGAGTTCGAGACCATCCTGGGCATCACAGGAAGACCCATCTCTACAAAAAATAATAATAAATTAGCTGGATGTGATAGTGCACATCTGCAATCCCAGCTCCTCAGGAGGCTTAGGCAGAAGGACTGCTTAAGCCCAGGAGGTCAAGGCTGCAGTGAGTCACGACAGAGCAAGATCCTGACTCAGAATTTTTTTTTTTTCTTGAGATGGAGTTTTGCTCTTGTTGCCCAGGCTGGAGTGCAAATGGCGTGATCTTGGCTCACCGCAACCTCTGCCTCCTGGATCCAAAAGATTCTCCTGACTCAGCCTCTCAAGTAGCTGGGATTACAGGCATGCGCCACCATGCTCAGCTAATTTTGTATTTTCAGTAGAGATGGGGTTTCTCCATGTTGGTCAGGCTGATCTCGAACTCCCAACCTCAGGTGATCCACCCGACATGGTCTCCCAAAGTGCTGGGATTACAGG